TTTTGGATGTTTTCCTTGAGAAGAAACAAAAATTAAACTGGTTTTAAGAAATTTCTTTGACCAATTGCGAATTAGACAAGCACGATATTCTCCACCTCCTAAACTATTAGAAAGCAATAAACTTGCTTCTATGGTTTTTTTCCCTGCTAATTGAAGATTAAGATATTGACTAATAATAGAAGCTCATTCTTAAATTACAATTATTAAATATTTGTTATAAACTTTGATCAACTCAAGACGTAGTGGTGGTCATAATGGTTTTGAATATGGTATTAAATTATATAATTTGATGAAACTTTTGCTGGCACAAGATGAAGTAAGGAAATATATGTATAAAGCAAAATATTAAAATCTGTTGAGAAACATACAAAGGCATATTTACAATAATATTTTAAAAATTGTAATTATTTTTCTGTACAAAGAATTTGCTGAAACTTTTAAAACTGCTGAAACCAAAAGAAATTCTTTAAAAGGCAATATTATATCGGAGAAGATAATCATTTACAAAACAAAGCCGTTAATATAGTCAATGTTAACTTCATCAGAAGAACACAAATTTTTATTAATTGATATTGATTAATGGTAAAAACATCATAAAGTCTTCATATAATAATTTCCAAATTGTGCACAAAATAAAATTTAGAAAGGTGACTAATATACGAGAGATCTATTTATGTAATTATTATTAAAAATTCCATTTAAGACAGTCCTCGGACATGTTGCATCTAAATAATCCTAATAGATTGTGTAAAAAAATAAAAGACTTTTATGCGTTTTTTTTTTTTGCAATTCATTTATTGCTTATATTATGATAATAAAAAATAAATCTTATACAATATGGAAAAAGAAAATTGAATTTGGAGTGATGTAGCAAGTACAATCAATATCTTGTAGAAAAATAGCACCTTTAAAACTTAAAACTGGAATCGAAGTTGCAATTTTTGCTTAATTGCCCTGAGGTTTTACGGGTGGTTCTTTAGTTAAATCTATCTTTTATGTTAATAAAAAGATAATACAATAAAATAAACATAAAATATTAGAAAAGACTAATGATTTTCATTTTTTAATGTTTTAATTTCACTCATTAATATTTTCAAAGATTATTTTCAAGTTGTTCAAATCTTGAATTGAAATTAATTGTTTGATTTTCGGCATATCATGCTCAAGTTCATGTATGAATGAAAAAACCTAAGACATGTATTAAAAAAAATTGATAAATGATCATTACCGAATGAAATAGCTTCCCATGCTTGAATTGCCTTTATAAACTAATTTCGAATGGGTTTTCAATATGTCAACACTGTTAGTAATTTTACGAATAATAATTTTGAGACATTAACTATTAATCACAATATTATTACAGTTTCAACGAATTATAATTAAATTCGCGTTGCAGCGAATTTTTAAAATTATTGGCTTCACATAGTAAAAACATATAAAATCCCATTGTTCTATTATTTATTTATTACTCGGTTATTTTATTTTTCATGTTATTATTAAATTGGAATGTGTCTTTTTAGTTGATATGAAAATTATGAAAATTAAGGCAATTAAAATTCGTTATACATAAACAAGATTTTGTTCCCAGCTTGTCTTCCTTGATTGAGAACTAAGGAATAAATAAAGTTAATATTCGCCAAAGTAAATAAACAATTTTCATTTTAATAATCTTCCCATAAATAGTATGATCTACGAGTACTCGCGGCACTCACAATACGTACTCGCGAGTATCCGAATATTTATATTATTATCATTATCATTATTATTATTATTATTATTATTATTATGAGTATAATAAAATTTTGAAGCTAAGAAATCATAACTATAAAAATTTTTTGTTTTATATAGTATTTTAAAGATGTTCAACTGCTATCCTAACAACTTTTGATTATAGCTGTATAAAAAAAAATAACATTAATATCAGCAACAACAATATTTTATATATCAATCAATATAACATTTATTATCAATGTTAATGAAATGCATATATAATAAAAATTAATACTAAGATTAAATCTGTTTGTAGACAAATTTAACAAATCCATATCAACTAGAAGTGAATATTCAAAAGTAACAGCTGATAAGTTGTAATTGAAGAAAACATTAAATTAAAATCTCATCTGAATCAAAAACAAATCGAAAGAGAAGAAAAATTAGATACTAATTATTTGTATATAAAAACATATAGATTTATGCTTTACTCGGCCAAGGGTATTTGTGCATTAGATTTTAATTTCCTTTTAAAACCCAAAAAAAACAAATTCTACCATTATTATAAACAAATCAGATATGGTCAGAATGAGGAAGAAGATTATAAAGAAAAATCACAAATACAAGCAGCAGTAAAACTTTTTAACTGATTGTTTCAAGAATGATAAAAAACCTTCATGTAACACAAGGATATATTTTAGTATTAGTATTAATGAATTTAATAATTTCCGATATGCAACAAATATTTAACCAATACAAGTTATGGAAACTGAATTATCGCGTGTACTTTATTCAAACAAAGAAAAACTGAATAAGTCCAAGTATAGAAAATATATTTTGACATTTATGTTATTATTTATATTATTTATATATAATAAAATGGCATTTAAACCAATCAAAAATTTATGTGGAGAAAAAAAACAAAATATTATTTCTAAATTGGGATGATCCCCAAAAAATATACAGTGTAACTAACTATATATATAATTTAAAATGTAATTTTTTTTGTGATAGCAGATGCTGAAATTTACGCGAGTAGCTTAAAAAATAAAATATTAATGTTAAAGATAACATCAGAAAATGGATAAATTTGCACTCCCACCAATTCGATCTACAATAATATTTGATTGAATTTCTAAAAAAAGAAAATTTTAATTAACGCGAAATAATTTATTTTTCTAACAACTCTCAGTTATAAATAATGATTTTTTTAGGCCCAAAGAAATGCCCATTTGATCCCCTATGAATTCAAATAGGGGGTATTAATTAATGCTTGTTATTTAGACTTAACCAGGTGATCGATCGTACTTTTTAACATGGTAGGAACATGTAAGATTTGTCCAATAGATACGGTGTCTGGGAAATTTTCCCTTGTAACTGCAAACTCATGCACATATATATATATAAGGTGGAATTTTGCTCACGGCTAATTTTGAGTGATTGGCACTTCTCGTCAAGGATAAATTTTGGCTTATAAAATTTTTTAATCATAAGTTTTTGTCACAAATGATCATCTTAATTGATTAGTGTAACATAATAAATATAATGCTTGCAAATAATTATGTACGCAAAAAAAAACAATAATAAACTTCATAAAAAAATTTTTTTTTTCTTTTTATTTAAATTTTTTAATTTCTTTTCTTTTTTTTCCTATTTTTATTATTATCATTAGTCCTTTTATTGCTAAAATTTAATTAATTTTCTCTTAAATATTCCTTCTTTTTTAATTTCTCTCATATATATACACACATATACTTCTCTTTGTGATGATCAAAGGGGAAGGTTTGCTTTTTAAACCCATTTTTAACGAAAAGTCAATTATAAAAATTTAAATATTTTATATATTCATCAATTTTTTAATTAAACGATAAAATCAAAATAATGACTAGTGATAGAGAAATAATAACTTTACGACAAGAGTTAGACAATTGTCAAAACTTGTCAGAATCTGTAAGTTTTAATTTTATTTTAAAAAATTTATTTACAAAAGTCAACAAGCATATCTCTCTCATCTTATTCTTGAATTTTCACCATTACACATCTCCTCAACTATTATATCATATTTTTATAAGATTTGTTGTATACCGTTTAATTTTATATTTCGTATCATGTGTGTGGTATAATGATTGTATATTAATTTGTTTAAAAAACTTTTAAATAATTAATAATCGAATATTTTAACAATTAACAAATTGAATATGAAATTTATCTAAATAACAATATATGTATACATATAATAATAATAATAATATAAAACAGCTTCGTGAACAACTTGAACGCGCTCATAAAGAGAATTCTACATTAACTGATGATAATAACTTTATACGTAGAAAACTTGTTTCACTTCAACAAGAAATCACTAATAATAATAATGAATATGCAAGACTTGAAACAGAACTTTATCAAACCAGTCAGGAATTAGAACGATTAAAAAAAGAAAATATTGGTTTTTTAAAATTTAAACGTGAAATTGAAAGAAAATTACGTGAAGAGGTACAATATATAAATATAAATATATTATTTATATAATATATTATTTATATAATTTATTTATATATTATACATATGCATATACATCATACACCTATATATAAATATGTATAGATATAGATACGCATGTATAAAAGATCAAACATTTCTAAATTAATGAATATATACATATTTGCACTTTTTAATTAGACGCAAGCTTTTGAAAAAGATAGAACTGTATGGCAAGAACGTGAAGTGGAATTACTCGATCAAATCAAAGCACTTCAAGAAACTGTTAATCTATTAGTACAACAAAATGAACAATCTTCAAAGAAAAATGGTTAGTACTAGAAAAATAGACTTTCTTAATAAAAAAAAATGCCATAATAATAATTACAATTCTCTCTCCATAAAAATAAAAAACAAACAAAAATAATAGAGGAAAATTCAGCATTTAATCCAGCATCAGTTTCATATTATAATGCAATCTGTGAAGCAAAGAATGCACAAAAAATTATTAAAGACTTGGAACGAAAAGTTAGTGAATTACAAAATGAAGCTGACAAAACAAAACAAATAACCACTGAAACCATGAATATAAATAAAAATCACGTACAAAAAATTCAACAACTGGAAAATGAAATTTCTCAAGTTAAACATATGAATAGAGCATTGATGGAGGATAATGAAAATTATCAAGTATTATTACATGAAAAAACTATGAGGGGTGAATTCATGTTAAATCCTATCTTACAGGTAATTATTAATTATAATCTTCGTTGTTGCTGATTTGAATTGTGATTGGATTATATGATATATTGTTGGTATAATTAATATTATTACTGTATAATAGAGACTTGATACTAGTTTAGACAAGAAATATACTGATAAAGATGAAAAATTAACTAATGGTATAATCAAGGAAAATGATACATCAAAGAGCGTTAATAAACCAAACACAAAAAAATTATCAATTGTCACTGATTTAGAAGCTGAATTAAGTCGTGCATCAACACTTAGTGTATCATTACAAGGTGAACGTGTCTACAAAGAAAGTGATCACACCATGGTTGAAAGTATGTGAATTATAACCAGTAACTTTTTACATTATTACTATCGTCATTATTTTTCGAATAAAATAAAATTTAAATAAGAATAGTAATAATATGTTGATTAAATATTAATTAAATATTTTTTTTATATTTCTGTAATTATTTAGAGCTTCAAGAAGAAATAAAATCACTAAGAGATGCACATAAATTAATGCATCTTTATATTTCAAAGATCCTTACTCGTATTTTGGAAGCACAAGGTTTTGAAGAAATTTTATCAACTGATTGGTCAGCTAAACGAATTGAATCTAGTCCAGTATCACCTACAATAACAAGTTTTAATCAAGATCAAAAGAATGATAATGGACGTAATAAAATCGAAAGACGCAAAACTTTATCAGGGTTTCACTTTCGCAGCACATCCCAGCCCCAAAACAGTTTAATGAAAGATAAGACGATAGCTGAAGAAACAGAATCAGCTTCTGATGATCTTAAAGATTTACCCAAAAAACCACAACGCAGGAATTCTACATCAGGAACAAGAACCAGAAGATTCAGTTTCTTGGGTTGGGGTGCAGGTTCAAATAAAGAGAGTAAAGAAACAGAGAAAAAAAATGATGATAAAAAGGGTGAAAAAATAGATAACAAAGAGGATGTAGAGATGGTTGAAAAGTTTGATGAAAAGGATGATAAACCAATAAATGAAAAGAATGAAGAGGATTATTATTTGAAGCCTACAATAAAAGAGTGTGAAAAGATTAATGAATAATCAGCACAAAGTTATTTATTATTTATTTATTTATTTATTTATTTATTTATTTATTAATTCTTTGTTGTCAAAGAAACAATTTCTCTTTATTATTATTTATAATTTGTAACATTTCATCTCTAATTTTTTATTTTTTTTTTCTGTAAAAATTGATTTTCCTAAATTTTTCATTTTCATTTATTAATATGATTATTATTTATATTATGAATACAAAAAAATATAATAAGCAAAAAAATATGTTATATATATTATTAATTAATTTTCTTTTCTTTGGAATTTTAACAAAAAAAAATTTTAAGTAAATATATCTTTAAAAAAATAAAAATAAAATAAAATAAAAAAAAAAAAACAAAAAAATAAGATAAAAAATCATGATATGAACTGGTTCAAAAGGGCTTTTATTGACTGACACACACGATCAGGTAAAAAATTTTTATTAATAAAAAAATTCATAAAAGATATATATATAAGTGATTATTTTTATTAAGTGATAAATTCTTATAAACTAACCATAGCTAATTAACCAAATTTCTTAATCAATTGGTTAGTAAAAATAAGAGAAAAAATAAATTCTGCAAAAAATATATATTTAAGAACGTTCTCCACGAAGACGGCGTGCCAATTGAATATCCTTAGGTTGGATTGTGACTCGTTTAGCTGTATAATTAATGAATTAATTAATTAATTAATTTGGATAATGTAATATATATTATTGAATCACTTACCATGAATGACTGCCAAATTTGTATCTTCAAATAAAGAAACCAAATAAGCTTCAGCAGTCTACAACAAATCATAATTATTGTCATTACCATTAAAATTAATGTATCAGTCGCGGGACATTGCAGATCAAGTGTCATTTCAATATAAACGTTACACGAATAAAAGTATTATCGTTCAAAAAAAAAAATCTCCGTTTTTCATATAGCAAGCGATTTTCAACCATAATAAAATTTTTAGAGCCAGACTGGGGCTTTTAACAACAGTTAAAAGAAAAGACTAGCTTAAATATTGGTTATTCTACGCCAGG